GTGGCGCGATCGAGGTAAAGTCCCAGCTATTGGGCATCGTCCATTCCGAGTGCGATGAGGGTAGGGGGTACGAGGATGTCTCTGGTGCTGTTGGCAGCGATGTCGGTGTTGCTACGGTGCTGCTCTTGCTAACTGGCGTGTCTGCTGTGTTCGCCGTCGTTGACACGGAACCACGAGCTGATATGCTGCTGCTACTCTCCGTCGTTGACGCGGGCGTCTGCGCTGCGATACTCGACAAGCTTGGCGGCGGCGCCGGATTCCCTACTGCTTTCTTGAACTTAACGAATATCGCTTGCAAGACTCCTTTGGCGGCCTTTGCCAGGGGGTTTCTCTCTTGCATCGCCTCGAACCTCTCCGTTGTCCAGTGGAAGTGCTGCATGGCGCTTCCTGCCATATCCAGATTCTCTTTCGGGAAGAGGATGTATATCGTCGCCATCAGCACCACGGCATCAAAGCTTCCAAAGAATAGCGAGAAGCTAGTTGCCTAGTCAGTGATGAATCACGTCTCTTACCCATGAAAACTTACTTGCGCCACGACCCTGCGTCGAGACCCTGGAACGTGAGCATTTGGCGATGCAGCATTTCGATGCTCGCCTTGAGCGCTTCGGTCCGGCTCTTTGGTCTGTTGAAGATGTAGGGCCGGTGCAGTGCCATCAAATTGAACAAGTTCATCTGCGGCAAGTAAAAGCGGGCCGACTGAAGCCAGTAGCATGATGGCTCGTCATCCCACCTCCTGTCTGGATTCTCCAGACGAAAATAGGCGGGTGTCGTTTCGTCCAGTTCCATACACATCTGGTGTACACGATCGACCTTGGAATAGTCTTTGGGACACGGGCCATCGTGCTCCAGCTCTAGGATCTCCCGCATCGGTCCCACGAGCTTGAATGCCCAGATACCCCTGGTTAATGGCGTCGGGGGGTCTTTCTCATCGTCTCTTGGCGCAATGGGTGTCTTGCGACGGTCCTTTGGTAACGGTGTATCTATCGGCAAACTTGGCGGAAGTATGCGCCAGTCAATGCTACCAGGACGTCCCAGTACCAACGCACAATGAATGTCCCTGTTCGGTGTCAGCCGAGTCATGTCCCGCCATCCTTGTTCGCGGCAGTTGCTCTCACCATGTCATCAGAACCATGTATAACTTGCGTCTCCGCTGAATCAACCACATGTTTTCCAGAACATCTTCAGTCTCACCGCTGACTGGCTGGGGATCCAAGCTATCCCGGTGCATACCGATTTCTTGGGCGTCTCTAATCGCGCTACCAATGGCATGCCACTTCATTCGGTGTAAGTTTCGAGAGTCTCTGGAAAAACACACAACAATCACTTACCGACTCGGTTACTTTGGCCATGTATTTGAGAAATGCCGCCCGGAGGAAGGACGCTTGGACCGTCGTCAGGGTGATTTGCCGCTTTCCTAGCAATGACAAAATCCCCACGCCAGACTCGCTGTAGTCTGCGGCCAGATCTTCAAAGGTCATATTCCCAGCATACTTGAGATGCTCGTAGAACTCATGCGACCCTTCAGGTAGGGTCAAAAGAGCCGTGGCCAAAACCTGGAACAGCAAGGCTGGGAACACTCTCAAGTCAGGCGAGAGGCCCTGTGGTCCCGAGTTGGAGAGAACGCTGAAGGGCAGGTTGTTCCACTCGGCAAATTGCTGCATAAAAAGATCCTCTTCCAGGGCGTAGTACTGCCAGTTGAACTCGCGGAAGTAGACCTCAATGAGCTTCTCGATGTAGCCCTTGGCCGGCAGTTGTCTGATCAGCGACTTATACCGCTCTTTTGTAGCGAATTGATCCTCGACCTGAGTTGCACCGCTCAGATGGGACATGGAGCCTTCGCCATTTGCGCTTTCGATTTTTCTCATGAGGCCGAGTGTTGATGCCCCGGCGTGGGAGTAACCCCAATTCGCGGCGACATTGGATAGGCTTTGGACCTGCGTCATCCTCGAACCCTCGGCCTCCGCTTTCCGATGCTCTTTCGCAGTCGGCGCGCCGGTCTCGTATTTGCACGCGTCCTGTTTATTGCGTGACTTACAATTGGCGCAAGGCAAGTCTCGATCACACTACGACAGCAATGTCAGTCTTGTTGCAGGGTAAGTTGACAACGAGGCGCTCGAAATAGTGGTAGACTGACCTTTTGCTTGCGCCGATGGCACTCTGTGCAAGATATCACAACTCTTCTGCGCTTCTTTGGTGGCGGGCGAGCATCTTGAGTTTGGCCATGGGGCGGATTTTGGGTCGGCGCCGGGTTCTGGTTCTGCCTCTCCCGCGCGGACGGCGAGCTTTCGGAGCTGTTGCGCCGGTCGTCGGCCATCGTCGGCCGTCGTGGTAGTCGATTCCTCTAGAGAGTTGGTGGTGAGGAGAACGGGAGGAGTGTATCGTATGCGGGGAGACGCGGCGCGATCTGCGAAGGTGGGCGCGGCGATCGATAAATCGTACGTCGAACGTGTGGAAGCTGTGTCTTTGGATTCCACGCCGGCTTAGAGCGTTGTAGGCCCAGTGGATGGTGCGGTGTTGAGAGCGCGCAGGCCGGCGCAAAGCAGAAAAAAAAAAGAATCAGCAATGCAGCCGGCGCGTGGGCTTTTGGTGAGTCTTTGTCGAGGATTTGTGGTCGGCAGATTTGGTGATTACGGAAGCAAGGTCCCAGTTCTTCTCTACCTTGTCTCCGTCAGGGAAGGAGGTGGAATGGACGGACACGGAGAATATGGAAAAACTGTGTACTTCGTCAGGTAAGGAGGTTTGATGGTATGGACCCGCCACAAGCAGACTCGATGGACAGGGCCTTCTCTTGCTGCATTGGCCAGGTGGGCAGTAGAACAGATGGGAAGAAGAGTTGAGACAGGCAAAGCAGAAGAAACGAGACCGACAACAGCGGTGGGCAGGGCCAAGAGATGCGAAAGCTGGGAATAGGACAGGCGAATGTGTATGAATGATCCGTCTTGCAAGGTATGTAAATGTGCCGGGGCCCAGAATGGCAGGCAGTCTGCTTCTGCTTTCTGCTTCTCCTTCTGTGCCACTACTTCCTACCAACCACGACGAGAGGTGACGCTGCGGCAAGGCATGTGGCCGGTCGACGGTGGGGCCGGGAGACGGTCTAAGGTAGGGTAACCCAGGAGCTCGGGGCAGAGTAAGGTACTTCAATGGTAAATGGAAATCCCTAAGGCCTTCTTAACCCCGAGAGGCCGGCCATCCATCATCCATTGCACCACCTCACTCACTGGCACTGCACACCATCAAACCAGGCGCGGTGACACGAGTATCACGGGAGAAGATTTAAGGTATGCGACTTGCAGACCTGCCACGGCAAACTCGCATTGGACAAGGCAAGACAAGATACGACGGGAACCGACGAGACCCAACACACACACACACACACACACACACATACACACAGGCATGCCGTCAACGACGCAACCGCGAACGAGCGGCCGCCTCAAGGCAGCATACTCTGCTTTCTGGCACAAGCTAAGATAGCTTCCTGGTTTGCGATCGCTTACATGCAGCAGGTTGTAGCAAAACGTGGGGTGGCCTGGTCTTGCTGCTTTGCCGACATGGAGTGGCCCCTCAGATTATGGGTGACCTTGGATCGGCGACCAACCTAACCAACACTCGGATTGTGAGAGGGAAAGGGAAATGGGGGTAAAATCAAAATGAGATGGTCAACAAATGGAAGAAAAGAAAAGACCACACCACACAGACATTGTCACGTCAAGGCGGCGAGCGTTCCGCACCGTTCGCGTTCGCAGCAGAGGCGGCGGCGGCGGCAGCAGCAGCAGCAGCATGGCATGCCCACACACTCTTTGAAGCATCAGAGATGACAACGTGGAGGGGTAGGGCCGGCAGGGCGCCGACAGGGCACGCACGCCGAAAATGCTATGGCCGTCACCTACCTGATCTGACCTTACGCCGTACCTTACTTAGCACATCCTGCTCCCGTCCTCCAGCAAGTCCCGAGTCCAATGAGCCGTACCATGCCTCGTGGGGTCGTCGCACCACTGCCTTTCAGGCTTCGAAGTCGTCTGGAAAGACAGGACGACCACGGCCGCCGGCTGCCCCTGCGCTGCGCGTGGCAACTGCCCAGGTGCACTTTAAATTCTCCATGCGTCTTGAGGGATTGGGGAAAATAGCCTTCTTGAATCTCGCAGCTCATCGAGAACATGTTGCATCCCGGGGAACCTTGTCCTCCTCCAGCCCGTCGCCTCAGAACACCACTATGTACCATAGTACCTCCCTCTTCTTTCTCGTCGGCCCTTTCGTCTCTAACCTCAACCGCCCACCACCACTACCGCCAATGATGCTCATCCACCCTCACCCTGCACCTGCAATCTCGTCCTCCCCTCGTCCATCTACGGCTGTGAGGTCATGCCCTTCCCTGTTGCCTCCCCGGGCCTGCACCGTGCCATGCCATGCCATGCCTCGCCGTACCACGCCAATGCCACATGCCACACATGCCATGCTGTCCATGAGAACCTTCCCGCCTATTGCCTGTCAAATCGGGTGCGAAGGGCGAGTAACGGCTTTGAGGGTACGTCACTTTCGATTGCCGATCACCGACGTCGAGTAAGAACGCTCTACTCAGTCTCCCACCAACGCGCTCGATGAACCGGTGCCATGTTCACGATCGAGGGCAAGTCCCATGGGGCTGGCGATCGAGAAGAACAGCAGTAGATGTGTTGCAGACGTGGTCAATTGAAAGATATATCAAGTGTGACAGTCCACCACCTAATAAACAATGCTTCTTCAACGCCAATCCAACCCCTTTTTTGTTGGTCCATGCCGGATCACCGAGATCCCGTCTAAGAAACCGTCCCAGTGCCCCTAGTAGTACTCCCTAATCTCTACGATACGAACATCATTGCAGACCGACATGCATAAACCGACGACAACAGTTTGGAGACATGGCCGAGTGCCACGAAGAAGGGATGACACGACTGGAGGAGTAAAAAACACACACAAAGATGAACACGCCTGGGTATTGGTGTGATGTGAGGAGGAACCGCCTACGCTACCCGAGAGAGATACGCCTTCCAGGCCTTTCTGCGGTATCTCTCAGCCTCCGACTGGGGATCGCCTGCTTTCAAGATGCCGCGACCGACGATGACGATGTCTGTTCCGCAGAGCTCGACCAGCTTCTGAGGCGTGTTGTACTGCTGGCCCTTGCCGTCCCCGGCGACACCTCCATTCTCTTCGTCACCTTCGGGCGGCAGCTGGCATCCAGGGGTCATGTGGATGAAGGCATCTTCGGGCGCGGTGTTCAGACTTTCCTGGGAGACAAATCCCATTACGAAGCTCTTGTGCTCCCTGGCGGCCTCCACACAAGCCTGTGTGTACTCCTTGTTCATGAAATTTCCAGCGCTCGACATTTGCGCCAGGATCAGAAGACCACGGTCCATTGGGGCCTCTTCGATGCCGGCGTAGAGAACATCGTCACCGTGCGACTCATTGCGGGGAAACCTCGGGGAAGGGGCAGGTTCGAAATGTTGCGTCAAGGTGGTAATGGAGACGATGCTGCCCTTGCGGCCGTTAACGTCGGCCGGACGAGGGGCGCCAATGGTATGTTCCGCAGAGTGTAAGTCGTTCGCCTGGTCCTCGTCGTAGTCGTCGAAGCTTTCTGACCTGGGTGTACCGACTGTGACCGATGTCCTTACTTCGTAAGGGTAACGTTCCCTCCACCTAGCTGCGGCCTCGGCAAGAGAAGTAACGGCAGCTTTGCCAGGGACCATGTTCACATTGATGATGTGCGCCCATTCAACTATCCGTGCAGAGCCCGCGACGTATTGCATCTGTACCGTATTTCCAATATCACCAAACTTGCGATCCTCGAAGATGAGGAAGCCGTGTTTGCGGGCCAATGCGCCAAGCTTGGCTCCAGTGCCCGTCTGCGGGTTGAAATCCCATCCTGCAACAATATCGTGATGCGTCTTCAGAACGACGATGGAGGGACCGACCTTGTCGGCCAGGTAGAGAAGTTCTCGGGCGGTGGGAACGTCAGCGCTGAGGCATAGGTTGGAGGCCTTCAGGTCCATCAATCGCAAGAGGTACGTCGTGAGCGGATGGGTGGCCGTCTCGGCGCGACTGGCGAAAGTCGCCTTGAGCGTGCTGTGTGAAGTCATCCTAGTAGATGGTTTGTGTCTTTTAACACGACGATCGGGTCTGGCGCAGTGCAGGTCGAATTGATGTGTTTCTGGTGAAATGGCGGGAAAATTGTCTCCAAAGATAGAGTTTCCGACTGCGACAGGAAAGCGGAGCGGAAGTTCTTTGACAAGCGCAGTGGCAAGGCTGGTGAGGGGGGAGCCAGCAGCCAGCAAAGAGAGGGGAAATTGAAGGTGACGACGAGATGGCTGAGAGGTAGCGCCGAATCAGGGTTTTTGTAGAGACCGCGGCGGGATGCGGCGAGGGCGGGGAGCGCGCGAACGAGACAATGGGAGAAGCGTTGGAGGAGTGAGGTATTGTGCGTCTGTATTCTTGACCGTACGTTGGGTTTTGTCGTAAATCGAGGGAGAGACAGACAAGACCCGACCAGTAGACGAGGGCAGAAAAGGGTAAGGGAGAAGGAGAGGATAGCAGGTAGCTAGGCGGGCTGGACTTTTTAGTGAAGACTAAAACAGACAATAAGTAGTTAGTGAGGTCGATGTGTGCAAATGTGACTGTGGGGGTGCGCTTAAGATTAGATAGACACTGAGGGCGGTGGGCTAAAAATTGGACGAGGGGCCAGAGGGGGAGGGGGGACGAGGAGAGATGGGCATGGAGGGGTTCGCGTTCGCTCTCTACATCACAATTGCCTAGAGAGGGAACGGAAGTGGAGGGGGGGTTTTTGGCGGGAACTTGACAGAGAGAGAGGCAATGGAGATTCATGGAAAGGGGTGCGTACTGCGGCAACGGTCAAAGATCTCGGCAGAGAGAGAGAGAGAGAGGAGAGAGAGCGGCGAAGGAGGCAGAGAGAGTGAGTGAGTGAGAGAGACGGAGCAAGAGCAAGAGAGAGTGCGTCTATGTTGAGTGGGTGTGTGGGTGTCACAGAGAGAAAACGGGAGGCCAACAACAACAACAACCACCAAAGTGCATGGGGCAAATGCCAGCAAACCAGTCAATGAGACGAAACGAGAGGAGACGACGAGGATCAATAATTGGGACTCAAGAGGAGAGAGAGAGAGAGAGAAAAATAACTAAAAGCAGAGCCCCCTGACCTTTGACCAGCCCCGTAGGTAAGGAATGAATTGCCCCCAAGCAAGGTAGGGTATATCCGTACTGTAAGGTATTCAGAGTAGTACCTACTTCAGGTATTCGTCTACATACCTTACCTGTAGCATTATGGAGTTCTCCGTAAAGCACTCACCCCACGCAAGTACGCATACCTTGCTTGTCATCCACCTTACCACGTACGGACATTCGTACGATGGGTATTGGTCTGAGAGAATACCCAAGGCGAGGGACTTGAACACCGATCGACTATTGTGGCTGTACCACCTGACCCGGCGGCATCCATCCAACCATCCATCCTCACCTCGAAAAGTTCTTCGCTGCGCCGTACCTCGAGTTGTCAGTTGCGCATGCATCAAAACCCTTCTCCGTCCAATTTTCCCACCGTGAAGCAAGCAAGCAACTCCTCTTTTGTCGGCCCTTCCTTCCATGAACGCCAGTCAGTCTTGTCCCCAAAACCCTCTCGCATTCTCAGACTCAAATCACACTTGCCGAAGTCCTTCACCTACCTCATCATCCCAAAGAGCCACGGCATGTTCCATATTCATGTTCTACCTGCTGGTCGGATTCGGAGAGTCCAGGAACACCGCCGTTCTTGGAACGGCTAGATGATCCCGACCCCCCCCCCCCCCCCCTCTGCACCCTGAATTGACTAAAAAGCCTGTGGTGTGGGCTAATTAAAATAGGAGGCATGCCGACCTTCCATGTGGCATCCCGGCAAGCAGACCAGTCCATGCCTTTTGCCAGTTCTCCCAAAAGACTTCATCCAGGCATATGTACGGACGGCCTGCCTCACCGGCCGCCACCCCGGTAATCCAGTGCTAGTTTGAAGTGACTGAATGAATCGATCCCCAGCTCAACTTCAGCCCATATCACATCACCGTGGCGGCGGACCATCCAAGGGCCGGCGAGGGTGACGGCGCCGTCGCGTTCCATGGGAATCAAACTTGTAAAAGCTTGAGCCGCGGCATCCCTTGACAGTAGAATGCCTGAGTCGATCTCGAAAGCCAAAAGGGCGTAGGTCGACCAGATGAGATGGGCTCGAACCCACCCTTTCGCACGTTCTGGAACCAGACCGACGTCCGACAAAAGTATTTTTCTTTTCCCCGTCCAGACCCTGCAAATGCGACTGTGACGTGTAGCCCTGCGGTCAAGGGGCGGTTGGAACGCTGGCCGCACCACGGCAACACAGCAACGCAACGCCAGCACGGTAATGATTGAGGCACACACACACACACACACACACACACACACTCACAACAGCCACAATACCCATTTTCAGGGTGGTCCGTCTGTCGCAACGCGCAACTCCAACAATCTCTAGTTGCCAGGCCGGAGCCCGCCCGACGCACCAATCACCGGTCCCTGCGTGTGTGTTGCTTTGTGTAACATTGAGTTGCGGTGCGAATCATGTCAATCAGCCGTGCTGTCGGCCGGTTGCCAAAAGAAAGGACGAAATATTTTGGATAGCCGGGGGTGGTGTCGGCGAAAGCATGCTGGGCATGGAACGGGCAATCTTGATTTCGATACGTCAGATCGGATGCCAATGCATCGACGATGAGAGACAGACGGACAACCAGGCCGGTCGAGATGGTTGACCGCGACTACACCACGGTAAACCCTGGCCTGGATGTCTGTCTGTCTGTCTGGTCTGGTCTCTGGTCTGTCTCGTGCATGTGTTGACCGCAGCCGTCAGATAATGAGAATCATGACCGGAAGCGGTGGATGGGATCCTGCGGTGAAGCCGTCGCCCCCAATGGACCACTTTAACGGTGCAGCTTGCGGGCCGGAGGCTCTCGACGTCACGACCCCCAAGCACATCTCAGCCTATCAAGTTTGGGCGGCTGGGCAATATCGTGCCATGTCCCCGGGTCTTAATTGTCGCTAGTAAGGGTCTCTCGTGTTTTGATGCGAGGAGACAGACGGGAAGTCCGATGAACCAAAGAACGGTGTAATCCTTTCCCCCGCAACCATGGCTACCTCAGTCGACTGCCATTAGCCTTGTGCCGTCCCACATCCCACATCGCACTTTCAACGTCTCGTGCCGGCGGCAACCAAGGGAAGGGAAGGGACAAGCAGCAGGAGAGGGAGGAATGGAAGTCTAATGTGTTAGTGGCGGCAGCTGCATGGAATGCAGGCCAAGCAAGCCCTAGAAGCCGAGTGCCAGTCGGGACGAGAAGCCAGAACGGAACAGGGAGTCCGGCGAGTTCTAGTGTTGTTCCGGGTGTGTCGAATAGAGAGGCCGGTGGGCGCTTTTCTTACTCAGGAAAACGCGATTGACGACGCCGGGCCCGCCACCCGACAATGCGACCCAGGTCCAGGTCGGTGTCCGGCCATGGGCTGAGCACTCGGCCGTGAGGTGGGTGAGGCTCGTCCAAAAAGGCCATGTGCTGTGGCTGTCTTCCAGATTGCAAGTCCGAGATCGCTTCGGTTCCGGTTGCTGATTTCCTGGGGAGGGGGGCCGGGCGAACACACGGTCCCTCCTCGTGTCCCGGCAGCCAGCCAGCCGTGAGTGATGCCATGTCAATTACCTGTTGTGTGCATTTCCATTGGGGGCCGAAACTGACATCAATGATTGACGGCTGGCATGCGATGATGGGAGAAAGCCAAAGCTGCAGAGAGCCAGTCTCGTGCGCGACCACCAGACCTCAGCATCAACGCTTCTGCTCGTGCGCTGGTTTCATTGCACAACGATGCATGTCCATGTTGCTGCTGTTGTTGGCAGTGACCCAGTAGCCAGCCACTACAGGTGAAGCGTTGGGAATTCAGAGTGCGGGGAAGGCGATGAAGACGAGCAGGCATGCTGCTGGCTGGGTGGTGAGGGCGGAGAGCGGAGGGCGGCGGGCTGGATCTCTGGATGTTGGTTATCGTGCTAGGAGCTGGTGTTGGAGATAAGGAAGGCGGCCACCTTCATCTGTTGTGTTGGGCTAACAGGGAATAAGTTGCGAGAATGACGGCCTCGATGAGCACCAAAGTGGGCGTCTATCTGGAGAAGATGAGCGGTAGTCTAGATAGAATAATCCAAGACATGCAGGTGTCTCTTGGCGCTGCTTTGCGGCATCCCACTCCAAAACTCAGTACTGTTGGTGTCGCATCAATCTGTTTGAAGGAAGCCGTGGGAAGGCAATGTGTAGACTGGGAGAGCAAGCCCAAGCCATGAAGACCAGATTTGGCCTTCTTCGGCCCACGACGACTCACGCGACAACCGACAGTGTCATGCCCGGGTAGAGAGAAAGCGGGTCTAACTCATTATGGCTATATTGATAGGTAGCACGGTAGATAGGTGAGCAGCTCGCGATATGTCACTGACGAATGCAAGACGACTGTTGCTTGCCCGATAAGGCGCCTCTATCTCTGCTGGTTCGGACTTGACGCACGGCTCTCGCTAATTTGTGGGTCGCTTGCTGAGGTAAGCGTGCTAAGGACTAGCTGGTTTTCTTGAGTGTCTTATCCATTTCTTATCCGTGCTTATCCAATGACCCGCCAGCTGGGCCGGCAAAGGGGCACAAAAGGGTAGGTCGAGCCTGCCAGGCAGGTGGTGTCGAGGCGGGCGCGCTGGAAGACGCGCGAGCTTGGGTGGGCTCTCTCTGCAGATCCGGATACATGTGAAAAAGGTGAGGTACCTACCTCATCCTACGGACTTTGTACCTGGTAGCTCTTTGCAGCGGCAGTGGAGGGTGCGTTACCAGCCAAGGCAAGACGGGACAAGGCACCCAAAGTAGGTAGGTACTTACCCATGGTCTCCATCGCACCTGGGAGCGCAGAGGTGGAAGCAGATGAGACACCTTGCCTGCCTTACCTGGCGCCTTACGTAGCCCGTGGAGGAGCCAAGCTCGATAGTAAATTATCGACCAGTCAAACCTGAAGTGAGGTGCAGAGTAAGAGAATTGTCAGGTCAGCTAATAAGGCATGGTCA